TTACTACTAGTAAGGCACTTGTTACTACTAGCGATGCACTTGTTACTTGTATTCTGTTCGACTTCATGTAAGCTCATCGATCTTCGTCCGGCCTCCGAGTTGCGAGAGCTGTTGTTCCATCGCCTGACCGAGCAAAATCTGGGTACAGTGTACAGCCTGTGGCTCTCCGGAACACCCAAAAGCAACCGCAGCTCTACTTGAAAGATCTTGAAAGCCTTCAAAAAGGGGTGGGCCAACGTGGATGGTTCATTTTCAAAAAGATCAAGAAGCTTTTCTTAACTTTTGTTCAATGACATGATGATCGGTCTGGGAATTTCTTGGTCCTTGCCTGCAGGTACTGGTGCTGCCGGGCCACTGGTCGTGGGCGTGGTGCCTTTGCTGAAAGGACACTTGGATGGGATCTGTCATCAGCTCCCGGCAGTTACTAACAAGTGCCACGCTAGTAGTAACAGGTGCCTTACTAGTAGTAACAAGAAGCTATTAGAAACAAGCTATTACAATTTACAACTTAAAAAGAATTTGATGCCGAGATAACCACTGCTGTGATCTCAATGCGGATGTTGCAGTAATCTATGTAGCTCATTACTTAGAAAAACACACAGTGTATTTCGTTGGGCAGCTTTGTTACTTTTTGTTGATCTGAAGTTGTTTCACGTCGTTGCACATTCTCTATTTCAACTTCAAACTTCTCCCAAAATAGCTCAAACTAAGCCCCATGCCGGTGGTCGGGCCGGTGCTTGCTGTGGAGGTGGACCCTGCGCAATGCTGCAAATCAGGTGTTCTTCAGTCTTGAGTCTAAAGAGCTAATGTGTGTTTGATTGGCATTGATGCAATATACAGTATACATCAATGTATTGCGTAAGGATTTGTAAATATAAAATGGTACAACAAAATTGATCATTTGCAACTCCCCTCACTGGCACCACTTTCATCCCGACCACACATGTTTTCGTGAACAACTCACCTCTGTAAGATGCATCTTACTATTAGTAGCAAGGTGCGTCGCTACTAGTATATAACAAGTGCCTTACTACTAGTAACCAGAAGCTACTAGGGGCTCCTGGCCTTACTACTAGGAGCAAGGACGCAACTAGGGGCTCCTGGCATCACTACTAGTAGCACTCTTACTACTAGTAACAAGAAGCTACTAGTAGCGATGAACAGTAGCGATGCACTTGCTATCAATCTTCGCCAAGCATCGATGCCTATCCAAAGGACTCACTGCCAGCCTTCTACTATTTTCTCCTGGGATAAACAGGGTGCACTTGTTGAGTCTTTTCGTCTCAACATCTTCACCAGCTCACGAGGCCTTGAAAACACCTGACACACAACCCATAACCGCTTTCATCCATTTCCTTTTTGCAAAGCAACACTCCCCTCAAATCCCCTCAACACCTCCTCCCCTTCAGCCTCACGTGCAATCCGCATGAATGCGCGGTCTCGAATCATCTGCGCCTCAGGGTGGGATTTGGCAGGGGAGCGTGTCGCAACTAGTTAAAATATGTTAAAAGGGTTGATATAAAGGATATTAAAAGGATGATGCAATCAATGCAATCAAACAACAAAAACTGTCTGTGCTTGGACTCTGCTTCAAGCGGCTTCAAGTTATCTTTTTCACGCAAACTCGCTTGATACTTGATGTGCTTGAACTCAATCTACGAATCCAGTATCTTGAAAGGAGAAGGAACACTGGAGACCAAAACTTATGATACAACAAAGCAGCTGACTGAGCTGACAGAGAGTTTCGGAAGTCCTGTCAGTGCTCGCTGTTGGAGTCTGGAATCTGCCTCAGCTCTTGCTTTCGGGCTCCACTGCCACTGCCTCACCAGTTTTCGGGTTGGTGATTGGCAGGGGTGTGGAGGGTTTTCGTGGTGCGAAGTTCATGCCGATAGTGTCAATGGGTTTGCCACTGGCAGGGTCCACGATCTGTAGAAGTCGAGGTTTGGGCGGGGAAAAATCTGGCACGGCACTTGTATCACCATCGGCACTTGCCTCTGCCTTAACGGCCTCACCTTCGGCAGGGGCAGCCGCTGGTGCAGCTCCCTCTTCAGGTGACTTGCCCTTGCCAGCTCCTTTCGGTCCCTTGCCCCACTTGCCAGCTCCCTTCCCATCACCGTACATTTGCATGTACTGCTGCTGCATTTGATGCTGGTAAGCTGCATATGCAGCAGCCTGGGCTTGCTGTTGGGCCGCGAAAGAATGTTGCATGTATGGGTTCATGCCGGCACCCATATGGGGGTTGTGCATCATATTGTACATGGCATTGAAATAAGGATTCGGAGGCGGTGGAGCATGTGGTGCTCCTGGATGTGGGTGTGCATGCATGGGGGGTGGAGGAGCACGTACACCACCACGAAGCATTTGAGCCTGGAAGGCCTGTGCAGCCTGCGCTGCGCCCATCGGAGCACCTTCAGATGGGGGTGAGCTCATTGCATCTTCGTAAAGTTTGTCAAAGAACTCAGCGATTTCATCCACCGTCAAAGGCGAGTCCTTCTCTTGCTGATGGCCCCATGCTACGAAAATGTCCGTCAGCACCTCCCGACCTGTACTCTTGTCTTTGTGCCTCTTCAGCTGAACCTTCACGTCTGCGATATCCATCTCGAGCTTTCCCAACGGGCTCCAGCCATAGGTCTTCTCAGCATAATTCATAATGGCCTCTCGGTGCTGGGCCGCCTCCAAGGAGACCACAGCACAACCTGCTGCGCAAGCTAAGCATGCTGTAAGCTTGTTGAATCTCAAAACAAAACAGAACGAGATAGTACGAGTATTTGTGAAAAAGCTAATTACACGGGCTACATTGCTACTCATACCTACCAGGTGTATGGCAAAGGGACCCAAAACCACGCAAAAGGAAAAACAACAAACACACGGCATCGAGTTGTTAAGTGCGCCCAGGAACCCATACCGCTGTGCTTGTGCACTTGGCAGTGGGTCCCCTTGGCTTCCACGGGCTGCTTCCCTCCGCTGTCAGCGTTCCGCTTCACCCGCTCGATCTTCCCCTTCGCCATCTCAGCTTCCACCTCCGCCACAGTCTTGGCACCATTCACTGGAGGCCCCCAATCGCGATCATGGCCCTTCTCAGACTTTCCTTGCCAAAGATGACACACAAACACTCTCTATCTCTCGAGTTTTCGCGAGGTCTTCTACTTACATTTATCACCTTGGTTGTCGGGGAACGCTCGTGCTGTTGGGCTAAAAATGAATGACACGTCGAGGAAAAGAGGGATAGGAATCTCCATACCACAAAAAAGATCTGAAAGACTGCCTAGTTTCCCTTCCCCTTGCCTTTGCCTTTTCCTTTCTCTGGCTTTTCTTCTGGTTCTCGATCCTCATGCTTCCCCTTGGACTTGCCCTTGGGCTTCTCATCATCACCTTTGCCTTTCTTCGGCTTGCTCTTGGTTCCCCAATCATGCCAACCTCCCCAATCGCTGTAGTCATTCCACCCATCATTCCACCAATTTCCTCCACCTCCTCCACCCTTGCGGCCACTCTCCTCCTTTTCCTTTGTATCCTTCTTCTTGCCCTTGCCCTTAGTGACTTTCTCCTCACTTTCGGTCTTCTTGGCCATCCACTTCATAGCCGGTGCCATGATGGGACGGATAAGAGGAAGACTCCGTCCGGCTGCTCTGTTCACCCAATGCGGACCCAATTGACGTGCCTCATGTACTTTTGTCAGTGCTATTCAAAGAAGTGTCCTTTACATGTTTCTACTTTGCGCAATGAAGCATTTTTTCAATTACTTTAAACTTTAAACAATGCGCGCGCCGAGATTGCTTAAGCAAGCAAAATGGCTATAGAAGATCTCCAGTGCAAAAAGACCAACGCAACTCATCAGTGCTAAAGCTGCAGTCACTTTAATGGGTCATCAACTGCACCCCTAAATGCAAGTTTGTTGTGAACGCCACTTGTTCAAGCTCAATTCAAGCTACGTGTGTTTTGCAAAAAATATGGCACATGACTGACATGACCTTGCCACATAAGCCTTCACAAGGCGCATCCTGCAAGGTGCCCAAAGGTGCCCAAGCCTCCGCAACCATCTCAGCAGGTAAGGCTTGCAAGACTTCCTGCGACTCTCCAATCCGATTGCTGAGATGAAGTAGCAAAAATAACATCACTTGTAAAGCCAAGGAGCTCTATTCAGCTATCCAGCTGTAGCTATGCTCCAGCAACAATCACACCTTTTGGCACTCAGAATTTGTTACTGCTTGTAAAGTTGTGCCACTGACAAATACTGGCGATGTTGGCGACTCTGAATGTGGGACGGACACATAGCGGCAGGAGGAATCAATATAAACAATCACCAAACACAAGTGCCTTCAGTCATGTTCCAAAGTTTTCTTGAGCAGTGCGTTGGCTCTTCCCTGACCCGGGCCATTGAGGGGGAACAAGGAAGAACAAGAAACCGCATTTGAGACGTCACAAGGTTGTTGTTTCCATAAATTGCTAGCCTACTAACTGCCTCAAACAGTTTTTTTCTATAGCCCTCAATGCCCCATATTCCTCCTTGGAAGGATAATAACAAGGAATGACGGAATGACACTTTTTTGGTTCAACTTACTTCTTTAGTTCAATTCCAGCCTAGACCGGTCCTCTGTCGGACTCGGTTCGGAGCGGACGGTGAATCTTCTGTCCTCCGGAGCCGTCATCAGCACCTCCTCTCGCAGCATGGGGTCCAGCCTTAGCCCGGTCCGTTCCTATGGCGCCTACTTAATCAAGTAAGGTACGGGAAGCTAGGAACAAGTGCCGTACTAGTAGTAACAAGAAGCTAGTAGAAACAAGTGCCACGCTACTAG